AATAAATAAGTCTTAATGGGACCACAGTTAGAAATCTTTTTTTAGGTGATATAACAGCGCTTTTATTTATATTTATTTGTTGTAGTAAATATATAGAAGAATGCTAAAAATTGCTGTTTTTAATTTTCTTGACCTGTTTCACAACTTTTTAAAATCCGAAAAAATTTATGGCAATAGAAAAATATTTGCGTTTTGTTAAAAAATTTTTTTGTCATACCACTCAATAAAGAATTATTTCTAGAGTTTTTTAAAAAATTATTAAACTCTGTGAAAATTTGAATTTAGGGCCGAAAAATTTTTTCATTTTTTCTTTTTTAGTTACTTCGCTAAAAAAAAAGACAATTTGGCTGATCACACTTACTGGAAGTGATCGAGAGATCTAAAAGTTAGCATAATATTTTTTATATTTTTTTTTGTTCTACAAAGTTAGAGTGAAAAAAAGCATTTAGTGTACTTTAACCCCTACTTACCTAGCTGGACCCATTACAACATTTTTGAGGGAAAAAATTTTTCATAAAATGAAGAGATTTAAAATTTTGTGTTACATTTTTTATACTGTCTTTCGATCTCCAAAGTTAGAGTAAAAAAAGCGTTTGGTGCAATTTTACCCTCCTTACCTGGGGGTATACAATAACATATATTACCTTTACAATAACATTTATGAGAAACTTAAATTTTTTGTGCAACAAGTAATATTTTTTCAAAATACTAAATTACTTAGTATCTATTACTGCAGTCAGTTATTGACTTCTTCGTATTTGAGAGCTGTGTTAGTTCATTGTCTGCTCAATCATTCAAATACTCATTTAAATTTAATTTTTAAAGAATTTATCTCATGTCATTATATTTATACTTTACTGTAAAATTCTATCTATTACATGATATCACATAATAATAAATATTGAATACCAACATTAATTTATTGCTGTTTTTAACATACTACCTAAAATATAAATTATTATAATATGTTATTTGTATCGTTTAAGACATCCTGCTCTTTTGTTATAAATATCATTTATTGTCCTTCTATCACTGTATTTTATACACACAAAGAGTTTATGACCTTATTTAATTATTAAGGAAATGAAACATAATTGGTCATACTTGTATATGAATATTTATGTGAATGTACGTAAACGTACACACGAGGCAACACAGAGTGGGCTTTTTTTTGAAAAAGGGATTTACTTATAATTGTTCATGAAAAGTATGTAGGTATATTTTATGTATGTACGTATGTTACATCAAAATTTTGTTTATCGCCAATTACGAAGGTTATAGAAATACCTGAAAGTACAGTGTCCATGACAACTACAAATATTACCGTAGAAATGAGGGGGTAAAAAAATGTTTATAAAACGTATGTGCTATGAATACGTATGTAATATATACTCTATTTACTTCCTTTCATGATAACTTGGATTGTCGTAAAAAAACACTTAGCTTTGATAAAACTGACTAGATTTACTCTACTTGTTCTTTGAACTTACATACATCGCAAACGATATTGTACAGTAAAGTGAAAAAATTGGAATACATAAGAGAATCAATAACTCACATGTCCATTATCATCGAGCTGATTGTTGGTTAGCTTGAGCTTGTCGAACGACACGGGCTGTTTCATCCAGTGCGCCCCGCTGGCCGGACTGTCGGGATGGACGTGAATGCGAGGCGGCGAGACGGGATCCGCCCTGCCGGCCACCACCCAGGCGCTGCTGTGAAAAGCGTACCTGTATCGCTTGTCGTCGCACGGCACAAAATCCATCACCAGCAAATAGTCGGTGTTGGGCTCGAGGCCGAACAGTCGGCACTGCATGCAGAATTAAATTTATCTTTGAATATGATTTGTCAGCACTCCAACCCCTAGGACACTAAATCTAATATATACATATATACTGATTTTCGTTGTTAATGAGAGAAAAAGGATGAGAATTTTACATTAATTCCGTAAATGCCTTCAGAATAAATTTTTTTACATCCATCGTTTTTTAGTCAACATTTTTTTCAAATTTTAGTATGAAACCGTTTCAGAATAGTTTTTACTTGTTGTGAGCCAAAACGTGCCAAAGAAGTGAATTCCACAATTTATTTTAGTTGTAAAAAGTTCACTTAAATTGACCAAAAGTTTGACGCACAGGGAGACAGGAAAAAAATACATCGAATGTTTTTTCCCGCACAATCACCGATCTAACTGAGACTAATATACCAGAAACTCGTCCCCCACTGGTTTTGGCGCCCTGAACCAGCGTTTAACACTATAAAATAAAAACTCCTAAAAACATGAACAAAAAGAAAAAGAGTCAACAATAAGCCCACCTGAAACGTAGGGAACATCCGTCGGCCAGCCTTGGTGACTATCATCTCGGTGCCGAGCTGGTGGAACTCCTCCCACAGTGCTCTGGCCTCGAGCGTGGCACCAGTCCCGACCAAAGCAACATGCAGTGGCCTCTTCAACTGCTGATGTTGCTGCTGTGTCCGGATGCTTTCGTCCTCGCTGCGTGTGCTGTTGTTATTGCTGTCGTTCAGTCCTCGGCAGGAGTTAGAATCCGGGCGAGAAGAAGACAGGCTTGTCGTAGTGCAGACGGTGCTGTTGCTCGTGATGATGCTGTCCGGGAGACTTGACGGCGATCCCGGTTTTTTTGTTGTACCACTGTGGCTACCACCCGCCGTCTGGAGACACGCTAAAAATTACGTTTTTTTTTTGCTTCTTTTTAATAGAAAATTGTACTGTATAATATGCTATCGTTCGAGCCTTTGTCAAAGTGTTGGAGGCCTTCGTTAATGTACATACGAACGTAGTGTAATCATTACTATCATTATGTATATTAAAAGTATGAGACAAGGTGAGCCCAAATGATCAGATTTTGGATGACATATGCGTGATTCGTTACAACTTTTAAAATAGATGAATCATTCAAGTGCAAAACATTCTTTGTCTCAACACACGTGCTACTGATTTTTGACCCATTGTGACCTGTAGGTCCGTGATTACGAAATAAATGATTTTCCACCTTTCAAGATAACAAACAGTAAAGGAAGTTGAACCAGAAAAATTTCCACCAAAATTTGTTATGAACATCCTAGAAGACAGTGAAAATAACATCATAAAGTCGTTACGGTAGTTGTTTGCCAAGTGTACTAGTAAAATAAGTATACTCATCATAAAAATGTTAAAAAATAACGTGATTTGTCGGTTTAAAAGCAATTTTTTTTGGCCTCCTTAAAATTCTTAAGTCGTTTGTTTACGAAGGAAAATTCTAAGGAATCTAACAATTTGGGCACACTGAGTGACACTTTCTGTTAATTAAGAACTAGAAGCCAACATCATTATCCACGGTCCCATTAACCACGATTACCCATGTGCTTGGTTACATAAGACACACCATTTTTAATTTTACAAGATTTTTTTTTTCCTTTTTCCATACGCAAGAGCTTATCTATAGCTATGCATTTGAATTATTTGTTTATTAGCCAAAATAGAAATAAGATAAAAACACTAATTAAATTTTTTAAAGTAAACATCGTCAGGTTACTAAAATTTTAAATGCCATCTAAAAATATACGAAATTTGGATAAAAATAATTTTATTAAAAGACCAAGAGAAGATGATCCGTTAAAACAAACAGAGGAGAGGCTGAAATTGTTGAAAAAATAAAAAAATAACTATCGTACGTTAAAACGCTTTTAACGTTTCTCTGCAACACTCATGCTAATGATTCGGATATTTAAGGAATATTTTAAAATCAAATAGAAATGGTCGACTAGTTTAAGAATAAAAATTAAACATGTTTGACTTAATATGGTTTGTTCGAAAATCTTGTAAAAAAAATGAAAAAATTCCTTTAAAAGTTAGAGAAAGCTTTGGCTTGAAATATAGTTGTTCCTCAAACAACTAAAATCCGAACTCACAGAGAAAACTACGTCTAAAACTTTTTAAAATTGTTTTCAAAACGTATCGTGCTACTATAATCTTTCAAACAATCTATGTTCGAGGTCTTACTCACAGATGGAAAGTAAGTTTGTTTTTCGAGCATACTTTTCGATTGTATCCATACCAAACTCTTGTTTTTGCATGTGGACTTTATTATTCGCGATTTTGTCTTAACTTGGAAACGTACTTACAACCGTATGTACGGGGAAAAACAAAATTCGCCTGGTTAAAATAAGCTCAAACGAGAGCATACATCAGTCCATTCAACAAATCGCGTTATACTATGCATAAGGTGTTTTGCTTCACGGAGAAGCGTCAAGTAAGCTTCTCGGAGTTTCGGGTACAACAACTTCCTACTTATTCCTGTTTACTGGAGTTCGTGATGTTTTAGAAGATGATGTTATGGTACAGATTCGCGTTGGTCCTAAAAGTGGTTCATTTAAATTTATAACTTTTATCCATAATGAGAAAAATATTTTCTTATAACTTCATATTACCACACAGGTCTTTATTTAAAAATGTTCAAGCTAACCATTCTTTAGCAGTATTATTTGTAATGCGGGAAAACGATTAAGGCACTGGAGATAGTCCCAAAATACAATGGAGCAAGTTAGACTTGATTTAAAAAATGTGGAGCCGTGCATTTGAGTGGAGGGGCAAAACAAAACGAACAACTCATTGGATCGCGTGGTTATGCAGGTAACGATTTTTAGGACAGTCGGAATGCAAAAAACGAGCGGGAACGACGTCGCGCAAGATACCATGCTTTTTTGCTCGAAAACGAGACAAGTGAAACGAATGACTTATTTTGCGCCGACCGAGGAGGGACTTAATGAGATACTATCGGTGATTGTGGTGGGCTTTTCCGACGGAAGCTTGAATGTGAGTCTTGACGGAAGCATTTTTTTTTCTTGTCTATCGATTTTATTTTCCTGGTATTGTCAAAGATATATGTCACTTCCTGCATCAATTTTATCCGGTTTTCGTGCGATTATACGTGATTTTTTGCATAACACAAAAATTATAATCAAAGAAAATTCACTACTCAACACGTATATTTGCAATGGTTATAAAGGTTAATTATAATTTGTGTCTTTAAAACGTCTCTACGTACAAAAAAGTGGCGGTTGAATGTCGTTTGCGATCCACTTACAGTTGAATAAATCTAAAAAATAACTTGCACAAAAAAGATACCCGTATCACTTCTTATGGTGCCCACGACGCTACCTCGTCGATACCCACTGAAAAATTGATTTTGTCCAAACAAATTTAATATTTTCTTTTCATCCTATTCATGTAGAATGGCAACAGAAAATGAACTTACTTGTCAGCAATTTATTAAATAATATACTGAGATTAAATGAAAAAAAGGTATTTAAAAAAACTTTCCATTCTTATTACCAAGCACATATACAATACTCGTTGAAAGACCCTTAAATTTCCTTTACTCTACAAACAGTATAGTACTCTTTGAAGAATTTTAAATATAATTTTTTGATAAATACAAAAAACATATTAAATTAAATTAAATAAAAAAAATAAATTAAACTATCATACAATTAAACATAAGATAAACCTCACATTTCTAAATAAACAATTGTTATTATCTTTTTACATTTCAAATACGTTTGAGTATTTTAACATTTAAAATTATACGAAGAGGAAAGAATATATAAATAGTAATAATTTAATGAAAAACAAAAAGAAAAAAACACGTTCCAGTGATGGAGTTGAGTTACACAAAAATTACGAAAACTAATCTTAGGTCATGGTATAGTTGTAATATATGCATCAATATGACATAAGATACAAGATCATATCAACCATGACCTAAGATCTATTTCGTTGTTTTTGTATTATCAAAACGTATACGTAATAAGTGTACACGTCATTTACATCCCCGGATTATCTTTACGAGCCTTTCCTGTATAACTCATAATATTCGAACACTTGGAACAAAAAATACCCTACTTTTTTTTTTACATCTGTAATATTTTTTTCCCCACTGAACCTCAGAAGTTAATTTCATCTATTATAATAAAATATCACCTATTTTGTATCTCTGGTCGAGGACACCTTCTGTATATTCCAAACAAAAACCTCACAAGCCTCCTACCACACAATAGTGTCCCGCCGGAGGATACAGGGAGCTTTCGAGCTTGCAAGCTCTCATAGATATCATCGGGATCGACACTCGCAAACTCGGTCGGCTATAAAAGACCGTGTCAACATCCCCTCGAGCTAGACTTGGCATCAATCACAATCGAGCACCACTGAACATTTTTACATTTTTCAAGTTCTAGAGCAAGTTACCCTCCCGCGCGGTCCTTGGTCACTTCGAGTCACAGGGTAACGACCAGCATTAAACCTTATATACTTATTCAACAGCTTCCACGACGAGTTTTCGATAATGTAATAAACGCGCTGTTGATGCTCGTCTATTATGCAGCGAATCGGCAGAGTTACGCAACGAGGTAGATCTCGATTCCGACGACAGGGAGGTCGACGAACCAATGTCCCACGAACCGGTGTATTTTCATCCGCGAGCTCTCATTGTTTTTTCTCTCAATCAAGCCGTGAAACAAATCCACCCCTTGGGGCGAAAAAACTATAGGTATCAGCTTTTACAAAATGACTCCTTGGACATACACAAAATAATGATCATAAAAAAAGTAATCCTCACTAAGGAAAAAACCACGTCCATCCCTCCTACGCAACAAAAAAAAGGCCCCCGAAAAAAGCACCTACCTTCCATCTGTTGCATGGGCGAGGGCACGGCACCGATATGCGGCTGAGTGGCTTGCAGTTGCTGGTGCTGATGATGGTGATGCCCGACCCACTGCTGATAGCAGTAATCGCCAGCCGGCTCGTGTCTCTGCTCGTGCTGCTGCATGACGGTACACGCAGCGTGCTGTTGTCAGTAGCGTCACCTCCTATCCCACGCGCGCGGGGTCATCGCGGTGACAATATTCCACCCACGACCCCGGCATCGAAGGGATGCCACTTCCTCCCAACTATCGAGTACTCAATGGTCACGGATACACGCGACAATGACGAAGAAACGCTGATCTGCCGACAGGCGCGCGATATTCCTCACCCCCCGGGACCGGCCGATGACAGAAAGTATGTGCCCAAGTAGCCCCAGAAGATGAGAACCGGCGTGGAGAGACGAAGAGGCCGCGGAGAGAGCTCCACGCAGACTAGCCGAGCGGCCTTATCATCGCGCCGTCATTACCTCCTCCTCCGGGTTCCTTTGATCGGCCTCTCTACGGTATACAGAGGGGAAGCTTGGCGCGCGCGCGCGTGCCGCGAGGGATACATCGCACACATTGGGGGGGTTTTAACGAAGGAGGGCCCCAGCCGGACGGGATACACCTACTCTCGAGCGCGTACTTACTCCCACGCACGCGGCTTGCGTCGCACCAAGGTGTTGGTGCATGCGGAGAGCGGCAGAGGGGGATGCGTGGGCGGGGCGATGACAGAGACTGGCTGATGGACCGGTGTGGGTATAGTAGGGGGTGTACAGTTTCCGTGGGTGCGTGTTTTTTCGTTTTTTTCGGGGATATACCTATACGCTCGGGGCTGGTGAAATACTTATTGTGCCGCGGTGTCCCGAGCGCACGGACGACGATGATAGCTTGATGGGGTTGCGGTGGGTGCGGGCTCGCTGAATATTGCCGATCTGGTCTTTTTATCCCTCGGGGCTTTTATGCCTAAGGAGTCTCGGTCAGCCGAACAATGTCCCGTCTGCGTTACCTCCAAGACGTTTTAGTGTCCCATACTCGGTACACGGCTGTGATACATTCGCTCCCGCGGGGGGGCATTGACAGGGTGAGTGGCAAATTCGCCCCCCCCTCCCAAAGTTGTCGATAGCTCGCAAGAATATTATAATGTACGTATGCGCATGAGTGTTTGAACGGTATGGTGTATACCAGGTGGTAAGCACAACAAAACGCGTGAGCGCTTCGGGACGAAATTTTCACGCCTTGGCACTCGATCTCTCATCCGGGGGGGCGATTTGTGCATCGTCGGTGGGATACGTTTTCCGCGATACGAGTATCCGATGGCTTTGCGCGTTTGATGTGCATTCACGTGTATGATGTGTGATAGAGCAAGGGATGATAAAAGATGCGTTTTTTTTTTTTTTTTTTTTTCATTTACTAACTTTAGACAGTTCTTTGCTATTGTCGTTGACATCGTATTTGTTGTTGTCGTGGCTCTGAGTTTAAAACAATTCTTTTTTATTTGTATCTTAACTTTTTTTTTAGAAATTGATTCTTTGATGATACTTTAAATAAGTGCGGTTTGTCAATAACAATTACAGATACGTAAACTTTTTGGATAGTAAAAAAATTTAATTCAGAATTTCAAGAAATTTTTTTTTTCCTCTGTGTGAATATATCTAAAAAAAAATGTTTAAAAAATCAGTATTTTATTAAGGATTTTGAAAACCAATAATTATCACAAGACGTGACGGTCAATTATTTTGAAATGTCTTTAATGCTGCAGAATATTGTGTTTCGAAAAACTTTTTTTGATTTTTTAACATATAAACACATAAACTTTTTAAAATATACATTTAAAATAAACATTTTTTTGTTATAAAAAGAGCTATACAAGTGATAATCACCAACCCCTTACGCAACTATATACATACAGATTCAGTATTTCACTTTATCTTATTTATTGGTCATAGGTACACTCACGCACAACCACCATGACCCAGTGATTTCTCGGCATTCCATCTAAAAAGCACCGCCACATCGAGAGAAAGCAAGTGAATCGAATTTTTCGAGGCTAAGTATACACCCAACAAGTTCGCCGGCTCTCGTTCTATTTTTTGCCCGACTCTCTTTAGCTATTTTTCGAATTTTATTTTCGCCATACCGTGTACCGGCTCTCGAGAGCGTTTACACACACATCCAGTACACGCTCCAATGGAAGACACGGGGCTGTTGTCTCGCGCGTTCCTTTTAGACCCTTGAGTCTGTAGTGGTGCGGGCAGCAATGTCGTTTCTGTTTTGGCTGGCGCGCCAAAAGGCGGGGTTTTGGTCGGACAACGGGAGCCACCCAACAAATTAGTTGGACATCACTTGGCCTGGCTCCCTGGGTCGCAATACCTCTTGGACACGTTTGCCTTACTTTTTTTTTTTTATTGTAGGTACCGGGGAACACTTTGCTTTTTGAAGAATGCTTTCCTTTACCCTTTTGTGTTCGGTGAACTGAACTTTTTCGATACTCTCCTAATGTTGCAAACTGTTGTTGAGTAAAACAATCGCATCAATTATTGGTATAATTTTATGTAGATTTATAAGATAGCCGATAAAGTGGTCACTTTAAAGTTTGGTGGATTTTCGGTTCTCTGTCTTTACTCACCATCTTTTTGCTATTCTGCTACATCGTTAAAAAATTCAGCTAAAAAGTTTTATTTTTAATTGATTTACTTACATTCCTGGCAGAGGGTAGTTTTTCTTAGAAATTTGGTTTATATGTGTATCATATAATTTTTATTCACAAAAATTTTGTTTACATAAAATATTTTAACAAAGTTTTGTATTTGTTACTGCGTTTGCTATTGTGTTTGAAAAAGTAGTACAAGTAAAATTCGTTAGTAATAATTTTTCTTTTTCATAAAATAGTTTAAACGTAAGAATAACAGAGAACCAAAGCGGCTAAAACACAAAAGATCTAATTTTTGCATTCGAGACAGGAATGTTACATTTTTTATCGTGAAAAAAGTATATAACCATAATTATATGTATTTTTCAAAATTATTTGAATTCATCAATATTAGCACATCTTGTTTAAGCTATTTATGTTCATTTTTAACCATACATAATACTAATTTTAATTTTTTAGAGACATGCTGCCCTGGGATTGGTAAACTTTTTTTTTTTACTTAACTTTTTGAATTTTAAGCTGTCAGGTTGTGATAAGCTACAAATAAAATTTCAGCCCAATCGGATGTAATGTTTTGAATATATTCGATTTACGTATCTTAATAAGAGTAAAAATTACAGCTGTTTCTCTAGTGGAAATATATGGCCCTCCTGTGTACCTAAAAATATTTATTCTTTTCATTCACAATACAATATGTCAAAGTTTTGTAATACCTTATTTACTATAATTCATGCCAAATAGATAAACTTCTTAATTTCAATGTTTCAAATGTAATTTAAAGTATGAAATTTAATTAAAATGTTAAAGTATTCCAAATCCATAAAAATTATTTTTTAATAATAGTCAAAGCTCACGTAAAAGTTTTTCTTTCTATTCTTTTCAAAAATTTTTAAAGTCTTCATGCAGGGTCAATACATTTTATTTTTTCAAATAAATTATGGCCCTGCAAAGTTTTTTTTTAATGCAGCATGCTTTATGATTGATACTCGTTATATTATAATAATATCTAGTACTTGTAAATAAACAATATCAAACGGAGTAAATAATTTTTACTTTTAACTGATATTATATACAAACCTCGCGCAAATTATATTAATATACTTAATGCCCTAACGTTTTTATACACTTATGAAATAACATCACATTAATGAGTTAGATGTGAGGTTTACATAAAGAACTAATCAAAGAGAATAATTATTCAGTTCAGTTAAGTTAATTTGTGAGTCCTACGAGAGTCGTGCAAAGATTATTCTAAACAAAAACGAAACTTGACCCTTTTTAGATATTTTTAAATTTGAGACTCACGATTCTTGTAAAACAAATACAATTTATTGCTACGATGTAAAGGATTCAGAAATTAAGTAAAAAAAATTTTAATTCAACACATCACATTTACTTGACCTTTTCTTTTCATTAAAAGGTTACTTTCATGTCGATATAACAAATTTTTAGCATAATTAAATTTTAATTAAATTCATTTTAAAAAATTTAATCCAACAATGTCTCGTACAATGGATAAAAAAAACCTTTCAAAAAAATGTAAAAATAAGACATTAGTTGTATAGTGTGGTAAGATTTTTTCTTTATAATTTTCTTTTAAAAAGTAGTATGATCCAAAATAATCCTTGTGCCAAACTTGAACATATATCTTCGACAATTACTATTATGGAAAAAAATTATCCACACAAGTAAATCGAATGAGATTTTCTCAGTGATAACTTTAAAAAAATAAAAATAAAAATGCTGAAGCAGTTATACCATACTTATATGGAAGATGAACGTACATGAACGTTGATCAGTAAAAAATCTATGATTACCAGGTTTTCCAGTACGTATCCCGATTTTGCCTTACCTTTCCTGGTTTTTTTTCAAAAACCCACAAAATATCCCTGGTTTTGACTATACGAATTTTTTGAACGAAAAATTTTTTGTTGATTGAATCTTCATGGACCGATGAACGCAATCTACATTCCATGTGAGACCTCATGTCAATTAAGTTTAAGTTTAATAAATGAAACTATCAACAATTTTTCGAATATTCATTGAAGTTGGACAATTTGAATAATTAATTGCACCAAATCAGTAACTCAAAAAAGTACTAGCTTGATTACGAAATTTTTCTGTGTACAGTTTTTATGATGATAAAATGTATTAAAAAAAAAAATTCTTTTTCTATATGATAAATTGTCATGTATTTTTGGAATAACGAAGTAATAATTAGTTTTGTGTAAGATATACATGAAAATTTTTTTAATATTGATTCAGTATTTACTTACTTTTAATAATCTGGTCATGTAACAAATAGTTGAAATTCCACCATTTTTTTTTTGACATGGCAGAATAAGTATTTTAAATCCTTTTACATTTGACAAAAATATGTCCGATACAAAAAAGTAGTAAGGTTCAAATAATAATTCTTACAACGTAATATTACAGATTTACTTAAATATGATATTTTATTTCTTTGTTTTAAAGATAGAGAATTTATTTTACATAAAATACAATATTCTCATACAGTGTTATACAATAGAAAACAATACAAAATTTGCTAGTCGAAGTATAGACACATCGTTACAGAACCTCGCAGGACATTTTATATTATTTATGCATGTATCTATACGA